CATGAAAACAGAAGATAACGATTCCATGGCAACTATATTTATCTCTTGGGTTTCCCTTCTTCTTTTTCGCCTCAACACTGGCTCGGGACTGACTCCATCTCCCACACTCTCTTCTCGTTGCGCATTTCGTTGCAAAGCGCGCGTCGCTAGCGGTTGCAACACCGGGTGAGCTTGTAAAAAGCAAAACGTGTACATAATGTAGTTTTTTCGGCCGGCAAAGTAAACAAAGCCCTCGCTGTCTCCTTGACCAGATGCCTCAAATCGTGAGAGACATGTTCCATATAGTGACTTGAACTCCCCGAATTTTCGCTTAAGTACGCCGCCATTCCGTAGGCATGTTGTTCTTGCCGGATTAATTCCGGAAATAACTGCAATCGTGACTCCTCCCGCCAATCCACGAAAGGCGGTAGTCTGGAACGTAGCATCATTGAAAAGGGGGGCGATACTGTCGTTCCAAACATCCACCGGCTCGCTGTCCAGTTGTGCTCGCGTCCTCGGCTCCATGAGCATGGACCTGGTCGTTGTCATGCGACTGTCATTTATCACATGAAGAAGACGGCAAAATTCGCTTGCTTCGAAATCAGGTTCCCTTTGCCGTGTCCCATCTTGTTCCCGATATTTCCTCATAGTGGTAAACCAAGTAAAACGTTTTCATCTTCTAAAACTGGTATGTCTCCAGGACTCCAATGAAGTACTTCCGCTCCATTAGATTCCTTCACTACCTTTACGTTTGTCGAAGGGATCTGGGAAAGGGCATGAGCAGCAGGGGAGAGAAGGTTGCTCTCGCTTTCTGTGTGGTCCGCCAATTCAAATGCTGTATTTATGCAAAACACTCTTTGAACTATCTTGAAGGCGATGGCCTTCCTTCTCGATGGGAGTCTGACATTTGAAAGTCCTGATACTTTAATTGCCCTCAGAATCTTTTTGCAGCTTGTATTGTCTATCAGCGACCATCGTATTAATTAATTGCCTCTGCTACTTGGTTCGGGATTGTCGATCGTGCCAATGATGGCGTCGGTGGCAAACATATCTCCTCCTCATCTGGAAGGATGACGGCCCCAGGAGTTGCGCTTAAAGAATTAACAATGCTGCAGTCTTCATGCGTAGCCAGACGTTCCTTTGAGTGGCAAATCTCATCCCCGCTTGGCATTTGAATGCCTTTTTCAAAGACTTATGGCTGGGCGCGTCGCGACTCGCAAGAGGCTAGCTAGATGCCTTAAACGGCAGCGACGAGCGGGCGACGGGGGAAGGGAGTAGTGGGCAGAGGTGCAGGCGTCGTGGAGGACGGCTCTCGGGGGCGGAGGGTTCATCCGGTTGGGATGAGGGCGAGAGCGGAGGCGGCGACGTAGAGAGTGCTGTCCGAAGTGGTCTGGAGATGGAGGTCCGGGGCAGCGACGTAGAGGCCTCGAACGATGGCGAAGAGTGCGCACGAGAGCGGGAGCGGCGTACAGAGGGAGGGCGGATGGGAGGGAGGGGGAGGGAGGGAGGGAGGGAACGGGGAGGGAACGGGGAGGGCGGTCGAAGGATGGCGGGGGGCGAGGGAATTGTTATGCAAATCAGTGTAAATTTGTCCACGTGCAGCGCATCCAAATCCCCAATTCTAAATGCTTCAATTCTTCACGTGTACACGTGCCATGTCGCACAAGATATGGACTTGTACCACCGCATGTCGGCGCAACTGCCAGCTCCTGGGGTCTCAAACGGCGCTCCGGAAAATGCGCGCTGCGCGTACTGCGCGCCCCCCGACGCGCCGATCGGCGGCCTGAGCAACACGAGTTCGGACGCTGAGAGATCCATGCTATGTGGAGCGAGGCGGGGGGAAGAAGAGAGGGGAGAGGGCCCAGAGTCGCCATTGATGGCGGGGACGCACGGGTGGTGGGGGGGTAAGGAAGGAATGGTTGGGGTGGGAACCGAATGGGGGGTGAAGAAGAAATGGTGGGGGTGAGGAACGAATGTTGGAGGTGAGGAAGAAATGGTGCCCGCACTACACGCCCGGCCCCGCCTGCACGCCATCCCTCGTGTTGCGGTCGACGGCAACAGCCATCCCGTGGAAGGCGTCTCCGTCGTCACAAGAGTCGATCTGATCACCCGCGTCCTCGGCATGAAGCGGGCGACAGCTTTAAATGGACTGCAGAGGGCTTCGCTTCCCATACAGCCCTCGGTATTTTCGAGTCTGCAGACGTTCAGGTTAAATCCGTTTCCGTCGAGCGCGTCGAGCTTGTCCTTACCATCAAAGAACGCCCGAATTGCCGCGTTGAACCGAACGCTGGCATCACTTCAGACGGGCGCATGTAACTAAGTCGCGGAGAGCGTCCAGGCGAACCCGTCAGAACGCAGCACGCCAGATACGTCCATTTTTTAAACCGTCCTGCAAAGCAGTATCGCACACATGACGCGCTTCCCCATCGACTGTCCTCGGTCTGGTCATGTGCTCGACGTGGAGAGCTCAATCGAGAAGAAATTTAATAAGGCCGCCAAGATTTTTCGCAACACAGTTGTCTGGCTGGCACAATACGTGGAGGTGGGCCCATATGCTTCTATTGCGGCAGGTCTCAATTTGGGTATCAGCTTGGGTAATCTACCCTGGCATGAACAAAAATCGCTGGAGGTGTCATGAATGTGCGCTGCGCGTATCGCGCGCACCCGACGCGCCGATCGGTGGCCTCAGGCGGCCCCAGCAGCTCGGGTTTGGACGCTGAGAGGTCCACGCTATGATTTGCGACGCGAGAGGGGGGAAGGGGAGGGGTTAGAGGGCAAAGGACACCAATGGCGGGGGGCGGGCGGGTGGTGGGCGGTAAGGAAGGAATGTTGGGGGTGAGGAAATAATAGTGCACGTATTACACGCCCGGTCCCCAACGACTAACAACTTAAGAGGTTGAGAATAGAATGGTTGGGGGCTGAGGAACGAATGGTGGGGGGAGGAACGAATAGGGGGGTGAGAATGGAATGGTGCACGCACTCTACGCCCCGCGGCCAACGATTAACAACCGCACTACTCACCCTTCCGGGGGTTAGGAAGGAATGATGGGGGTGAAGAAGGGAGCCGGGATCAAGTGGCGGGGGTAGTGACGCCGGGAGGGGGGCTTTAGCGAGGAAAGAGTGGGTAGTGAGGTTGTCAGTCGCTGAATGCGGGTCGTGTAGTGTGTGCTGACAAATCCAGCGGCAAGTGCGGGCGGGTTACAGGGGCGGGGCAGCTCTTGGAAACGGCGCTGCCAAGGATATAATTTCTGAGTCGACATATTTTTATTGAAGTAAAGAAGTATCCGAACCGTTGAAAGTCTTGAATGTACACTACAGACACCGGGATTTGGAACTTGATTGCATATAATCAGAAACGATAGGGGCTATCGTCTAATTCGTGGTCGAAGAAGACCAAAGCTGCATAGAATGTCTGCAGCTCTTTCTCTCTCGTCCGTGCTCTCTCTCGTGCGGGCATGCCCTCTCTGCATTTCTTGCTCCAAATGTAAAGTGTTCTGTGTATGAACAAAAGGGTTCCCTTGGACCTCGTTTTGTTCGGCTGTATCCAGTGTTTCAAAGTAGGTTTGATCATTTGTATCCAGTAAATAATTGTTCATGTTGCCGCAAACAACAACAATAAGTGTGCTGCATGCCACCGAAAATCGCAGGGGAGACCAAAAAAATGCCAAAGCGAGAAACCAACATGCCAAAGGCCTGTTCGACCGTTATCCCACAGGACGACAAATAAAAGTTAAACGCATCTTGTCTCTGCGATAAACCAAATCCGCCGTATGGTGTCAGAACATGCCGACTGTTGGCATACCCGTCATCTGCAGCAATTCGTGCCCATGAGGGCAGATTACCATTTTTGACCACAGAGTGCAGTAACGTGGCTTGAAAGGCAGTTGAATCATGTGTACTTCCGGCATGGCAAGCAGACACAAATACAAACTTGTAGTTTGCGGCAACAGAAGCTTGCACGCACAAAGCATAGAACCCCTTGCGGTTGAAGTATTTTCGAGGGTCGGGCGTGTCGTTCAACGTACGCTGGCGTATTTTCATTGCAATACCATCTAGAGCTGCTATAATGCCTTCCAAGGGAGAATTGCATAGTAGTTGGAATTGTCGTGCTGCAATACTGCAATCTGTTTCTGATACTGGAAACTCAATTGGAGCAAGCAAGACCTTTGTTAAGCGTTTGTATTGTCTCATGAAAAAAATATATGTGGTAGACCTTGCCACGCCGTAAGGCCATCCCGTGTCCAAATAGCTTCCCCTTGCCAAAATTCGCATAGTAATATAGAGCATTGTTTCGACACTTTTGGTAGAGTTGGAACAATTTCTTCGGACTTGCGTTCTTTCAAGCTCTGGACGCAACTGGTTGCACAGATATCGAAACTGGTGGGGTGACAGCCTGTACAATCTTATGAAAAGATCTTCACCAATAGTTGCCAGATGTGCATTGAGATTAAAGTTTTCTCGTGTGTTTGTAATCTCTTGTTGACGGAAAACACAGCATCTCATGGTCGCTTGCACGACTGCAGACAGTAAAACTTGCATTGTCTCCCTGGTGGGCCTTCGCTTTTCGATCTTTGATAGTATGCGCATCGGGAAAGCCCGCCGAGCCAGACGACGGCGAAAGGGAGCACGCATGGTACGTTAATCAAGCAGGGAACGACACTGTACGAGCACGCCTAGCCTATAACCTAATACTCCCCACTTGAGTGCGACATGATTGGGTGTCCGTAAACAGTTTCCAAAATGTTTTGGACCGGATCCAAGATGGAAATTGGAAATCGGTGCCCTGCTGTACAATTTCCGATTTCCAAATTTCCGACTTTCCAAAACACCTAGAACGCCCCTGAGAGACCCCTCATCACCAATAGCGAGAACCTCCCTCAGCGAGAACCTCCCTCAGCGAGAACCTCCCTCAGCGAGAGCCTCCCCCAGCGAGAACCTCCCTCAGCGAGAACCTCCCTCAGCGAGAACCTCCCTCAGCGAGAACCTCCCTCAGCGAGAACCTCCTCAACAACCCCCCAACCATGACCCCAGCCACGACCTCTCCTACCCCCACGCCCGCGCAGGCGCGCATCTCCACGACGCTGCAGGCCGCGCTGCGCACCTCGCTGCTCTCCGCGGACGCCCCGGTGGCGCTCTTCTACGACCTGGCGCGGCTGTCGGCCACGTGCCGCGAGCTGGTGGCGGCCTTCCCGCCGTCGGCGCTGCACGCGTTCGCGCTCAAGGCGGCGCCGTTCCCGCGGCTGCTGCGCCACCTGCACGCGTCGGGGCTGGGCGCGGAGTGCGCGTCCATCGCGGAGCTGGGGCTGGCGGCCGCGGCGGACATCCCGCCGGCGCGCGTCATCTACGACTCGCCGGCCAAGACGGACGCGCACCTCGTCGCGGCGCTCTCCGCCGGCGTGCACGTCAACGCCGACTCGTTCGCCGAGCTCGCCCGCATCGCCGAGCTGATGCCGCTGCACGCGCCGCGCCCCGCCGCCTCCGTCGGGCTGCGCGTCAACCCGCAGCTCGGCTCCGCGTCCATCGCCGAGACGTTCACGGCCGCCGCCGCGTGCAAGTTTGGCGAGCCGCTGCGCGAGGCCCGCGCCGACATCCTCGCCGCGTACGCAAAGTTCCCTTTCCTCGACACGGTGCACGTGCACGTCGGGTCGCAGGGCTGCGGCATCGACACGCTCGTCGCCGGCGCGCGCGAGGCCGTGGCGCTCGCCGACGAGGTGAACCGCGGCGTCGCCGGGCGGGTCCGGCAGATCGACATCGGGGGCGGCCTCTCCGTCGACTACTGGTCGGACGGCGAGGGCAGCAGCTTCGCGGAGATGGGCGACAGGCTCCGCGGCGAGGTGCCCGGGCTGGCCAAGTACCGGGTGGTGACCGAGTTTGGACGGCGCGTGGCCAGCGCGGCGGGGTTTGTCGCCGCGCGCGTGCAGGCGGTGAAGCGGTCGGGCGGGCGCACGTACGTGGTGTGCCACGCCGGGGCGGACCTGCTGGTGCGGCCCGTGTACCAGGGCGACAAGTGGGGGCACCGGGTCGAGGTGTACGACGCGGCGGGGCGGCTCAAGGGCGGCGAGACCGAGACGGTGGACGTGGCCGGGCCGATCTGCTTCGCGGGCGACGTGATCGCGCGGGATCGGGAGCTGGCGCGCGCGCAGGAGGGCGACTGGATCGTGGTCAGGGACGCCGGGGCGTACACGCTGAGCATGTACTGCAGGCACACGAGTCAGCTGACGCCGCCCGTGTACGGCGTGGGCGAGGCGGGGGTGGTGACGACGATTTGCAGGGGCGAGACCGTGGAGGACGTTGTGCGGTTCTGGGGCGGGGGGGGCGGGGGGGGGAAGTGAGAGGCGCGGGGCGGAGGGGGCGCGGGGGCCTATCCCTCCTGCTGTAGGAAATGGGCGTGACAAGCAGGTTTTCAGGGAGTTAGAAATTCTAACTATTCTAACTTAGAATAGTAAGTACACGTGTACAATTGGTGCAAAAGCTTTGCACATTATACTGTAATACTGTAGAGAATTGTGTGCATAGAGACCTTTGAACTTGAAACTTTGAAGCTTTGTGTTCCAAATTACCCTTTTTTCCAAATTCTATCCCTCGCTGCTTCAAACTTTGAAGCTGTGTTCCAAATTACCCTTTTTTCCAAATTCTATCCCTCGCTGCTTGAAACTTTGAAGCTGTGTTCCAAATTAGCCTTTTTTCCAAATTCTATCCCTCGCTGCTTCAAACTTTGAAGCTGTGTTCCAAATTACAGAGTAAAGTCTCGATAAGCTGCGTACCGGATATGATGAACTGTCTCGGTACCGTGAACCGAAGGACTATGAGGGAGGCGCCACCCCGCTTTTTTGGCCCAGAATCGACGTTTTTGTATTTCTAAGGTGAACCAGACTCTATAGAACGAACTACGCGATACCATGAACATAAAAAATATGAAAAACCCAGAGTTCACTTTATCGAGGCCGAAATGCGCACTAGAAACGAACCATCAACGAATACAGAAGCTATCAATACGTCCTTGCTTCAGATTCATACGTTGAAGTCTCCGTACGCGGCTGAATGAAAAGAAAGGGAGGCTGAATCACAACGGGAAGAGCTCTGGATGTCCGATTGCGCCCGTCGACGTCGCCCGTCGATACACAGTGTCAGAGGAAGTGACGTTATGTGCCTTGCTGTACCTGTACAACGGCTACACGTGTACATGAGCAGTTCCGCCACTGTGAACTGGCCCGGTAAGGCGAACTCGGTAGGTTGCTCGGAAGCGCCACATTTCGGTTCACCATATCGAGACTTAACTCTGTAGCCTTTTTTCCAAATTCTATCCCTCGCTGCATGTCCTCGCTGCATGTCCTCGCTGCATGTCCTCGCTGCCGGCTTTGTCGTCGGTTGCGGTGCTTCCTCGCTGCGGCGCTGTTACCATTTCCTACAGCAGGTGCGTCAACTCCGTCGCAAAAAATAACCGCTTAACAATAAAGGTTACCCTTGGTAACCGGCAGGACCGGGCGAATGAGGGGAATCGCGCTTTTTACAGTATTGTCGTGCCTTCGTTTTGGAGCTTCGTTTTGGAACTCGGGACAGTCAGTGACTTCCGCCACGTGGCCACTCGCCCGCAGACGTCCGTTAATTCCGCTCCCCTTCTCCGCCACCCTTCCAGTTCAACTCCCCGTTCACCTCTCCCTCCCTTCCAGATTATCGCCCTCCCCCCTCCTCATCTATTTTGCAATGGGCCTGACAGCTTCACCGACGACAAGCGGAATTATTTA